TACCAGGTAAAACGCATGACAAATTTTCGCATTAAAAAAATTATAAAGAACGGGGAACAGTACCTACATCTCAAAACTGACAAACAGGTCACATGAGAAATTTACGTATAGGCCTAACTTTAAAGACGGCTATGTCAACGGCCTTCAAATAAAACGTGTGAAAGTAAAAATGTAAATATTGTCATTGGTGGGGTCCGCTTTATGTGAGCTTACTCCATAAATGATTAAAAAGTACGCACAAAACAAACGCGAACGCAGAGTTTCTAACCGTATAATTTCGAACGAAATTATAGCATTCATTGCGACTGTTTACATGTTAAGTGTTGTGCCTGAATCCTTACTAATATTGTAAAAGCGAAAGTTTGTATGTTTGGATGGATGGTTATTACTCTTTCACGCAAATACTACTGAATGGATTTTAATGAAACTTTACAATAATATAGCTTATACATTAGAATAAGACATAGGCTATAATTTATATACATATTTTATGTATATCTGTCTTTCTGTCTTAATGTTACACCTTCAGCCTACTCTACGCAGACGTAGTCGCGGGCAGCAGCTAGTTTATAATGTATCTCTAAGTACTGACATAGATAGCTATTTGAACAAACATAAACTTATCAATATAGTAAGGTACCATAATTTGAATGCACCATTTTGTTACACCAGTCTTAAGTTCATACATAAATTCTCTTAGCTTTTTGGGGAATTTTAGTGCGTTGTCAGTTATATTTTAAAATTAATTTCTTGTTAGCATCCGCTAACGGTAGCCTACGGCTGTCGATATGAGATAACATAGTTAATTTTAAAGGTATAAAATATCCCACGTTTACCACATACAACAACAATTAAGCACTAAGATTAAGACAAATTACAATATAAAAATCCTTTAAATCATTGCCTTGAAGGAAAAACAAACATATTTACACGTATACTTTCACATATATGTAGTATGAATGCAATTGGATTATCTTCTTATCCTTTAAACGAGCAATTCTTGTATGTGTATATATACAGCGTGTCGTTACCATCGCGACAATAAATGAACACACGTCTAACGCTACTTGCCAATAATCATAAAAAAATATTAACGTTAAACAAAATCCATAAATAAAAAAAAATATTTTTCAAACAAAGTAATTAAGTAAAAAAGAAACAAAATTTGTAACATACTATACAACTCGCGTCACAGCGTCGTATTACAAGCCTCTCCTTCTAACAGTATGTTTTGTCTCTTTTCAATTCATTCAACCTTTATATATGCTTTGTGACTTTTACAAATGAACTTTACGTTACGCTTTTATAGGTAAGGGTGTTCTAAAATTCTTTGTTTTGGAAAATTTAATAACTCTGTAAATATTGATGTTTAAAGAATTTAAATGATTAATACAACTTTAAAAAGTTATCCCCTATATGCGTGTTCATTTACTGTCGCGATGGTAACGACACGCTGTATATATAATTCGAATCTCGGAAACGGCTCCAGCGATTTTCATGAAATTTAGTATGTGCGTAGATTCGGGGGCGAAAAATCGATATAGCTAGGTTTCATTTTTAGAAAATGTCCTTTTATCCCTGTTTTCAGGGAATGAAAAATATCATTAGAATATGACGGTAAATTTCACCAAAAAAAAATTTGTAATAGCTCTGTCGGTAATCGGGCGGCCCCGAAACAGAAGCCCGTGGTTCGTGTCACGATCATTTACATACTTATTTTTTTAGTTTTCTTCTATTCCAGATCATTGTTTTCTTTTTGTTTATTTTTTGTCCATCCAGATGATTTTGTTCTATTTTCCCTTTTTTTTTAAAGTTCTTTCTTTTGTGAAAAACACCAGTTCATATTTTCTTATTATTACATCGGTAAGATCGAAAAATATTATGCATGTTTCATTACTCAGTAATTTGTATCTAAATGTAATTTCCAAAATACACGATTTACCAAAAAAAAAACAATGAAAATGTGGCTCTGTGTATGAATCAAACAATTATCCAAAAAAATTCAACGTGAAATTGAACCGCGTAGTCAACATAGCATCGCTGGATGAAATCCTAACATTTTAACACAAAGTTTTTTTTTGATGTGAAAATTTGCCAAGCGAGCAGACGGTTCACCTGATGTTAAGTGAATACCGCCGCCCATGGACATCTGCTACACCCGAGGGTTCCAGATGCGTTGACAACCTTTTGAAAAATGGGCTCCGGCCACCTCACTCACCAGACGAAACGCGAAAGTATTATACTTCCACTTTACGCCGGTCTTCTGTGAGGTCCTGGTACTTACCCGGACGAGCCTGCCCATTCGTGCAACAGCCGAAGCTGCTGCGTGGCCTTACCACCGTAAAATTGTCTAAAATGTGTGTTTCCTGGAAGAGATCGCTATCAAACGATAAGGCCGCCAAATTGTACAATGCATAAATTTGTTGTTCGATTGTCACTTTTACGTATACTCTAATTTTTTGGTGGACAATAAAAGTGTGTTCATTCATTCATTCACACTTGGCCAGATAAAATCCCGAGCAGTCGACCGTCAGAGACGCCCTATGAATACGTTCATCTAAGGAAACTGGGATCGTGCAAAATTCGTGATGCGCTTTCTACGTGTTCTTCGAGCGAACGGCACGTAAATCGATTTGGAGGCGCATCGCGTATATGTTATGTTAAACTGAACACACGCAGTGAGTAGTACCTACTTCGTGACGCTTTCTATAGATGGCTTGACGACTTTCTTGCGGACGATACTTTTGTACTAAACGCAATATGCAAAACAAGTATTAATGGGATCACACTTAAGAAAATAAGCTAAACAGAGACATTCATGTAATTCAATACATAAATAAAAACTATTTTATTATTAGATATTATTAGTTTGATGATGCGAAGGGAATATATTTAGTAAAATACGAGAAGCTTTGTCTTGTCATTTATTATGGTTAAGGGAATTGAATAATCTGCCGGCGCCGCGTCAGTCTTTCCGCCTGGGCACTACGTGGGCGAACTCTCCAAGCTATACTAATGTACTACGTTATCCATCTACGCCTGCATCTGCACAATGTAGTGGTAGGTAAGGAGGGAAGCGTTAAACGGTTCTCGATTTATCATAGGAAGAAAGTATCTGATCTCCTTTGTATGACCCCCTGGTCCTGAGGGCAATGTTAAACTTAATTTGGCCGATCGCTTACGATATTCATGCATATAAACCAATTAGACCGTATTGTAAGTAAAACAGTTTTAGACATAACCAACAGACTAATCAGGTCGAGCATTACAAGTAAAATATATTTTTAAAACAAATAACAAATCCGACTTAAAACATTTTATTCGATTCACTTTAAATTTCATAAATTAAATTGATATAGGAACGTGTGGGAGCTAAATCGAACCCAAATTCAAAAACATTTTTAAAAGCAGTTCATAAACGACGGAGCTCTAAGGTAACACACAAAAAAAACCGAAATGAGAATCAAAAAACCAAAAAAACCATGGATGCGCCAAGCATTGCTTCAAATGCTAAAAAAACAATGTAGATAAAAGACGTTAAGATTTTCGTCGGTGTGGCAATCAGCTGTTTCAATCAGCTTAGTGGCTAAAGCGTCAGGCCCCGAATGCCAAAGCCGTGGGTTCGATCTCCACAGCGGCGACAATCTTTTCGTACTTTTTCTACAAATTTTAATGTTCAATCTTAAGTGCATAGATTAGCACCATAAAAAAATTCTACTCATTTTTGAAGTCTGTTTGAAAATTGAATTTGTCTGTGGTATTGCCACTAGGGCAGGTCCTTTCGGATAAGACCAAAGAGCAGTGTGAAGTGGATGTGTTATACTTCTGCGTTTCGTCTGGTGAGGTAGCCGAGGCCCACTTGTGTATATATAAAGTGTGATTGAGTAAAGATATTGTGACTTGTGATTATATAAAGTGGCAATGCATCTACAACACTGCGGGTGTGGCAAATGCCAATGCGGCGGTTACCACTTAACATCAAGTGAACCGCCAGCTCGCTTGCCAACTTCTGATACAAAAAAATTATTTAAACATTTGGCTACCGTTGGTACAAACGTTTGAAGAATTCCGATGGAAATGCACAGCTAGTCTACAGACTGTATAAGTTACTAAACGAAACAATTGCGATATAGTAAGCCCGAAAGTGCGCCCGAATGAGGCAACGCAGCAAGGACGCGGCGAGACATCAATTAGCGTCCCGAGGCATCGCGCCCATGCATGCATCCCTGCCACAATTCCGACGAGTAAATTGGAGCAGTGCCCTCCGCCGTGATCCTTGACATTTGCACACGAGATACACTTTCGGTTTAATTGAACAACAGAAGGCTGGAGACGACCGCGGAGTACGCGTCTCCGTATCCCGAGGCAATAAGTTAGGCAAACGATACAGTGCAAAAATCTAATTAGATACAGTTTACAGTTCGTTTAAGTTAAAAAAGTATTCCTGCTCTTTTTGAGACCGTAATCGTGATCGAGGGCAGCTCGAGACACTTTCAATTGGCCTATAACTGCCAAAGGTCAAATTACTCATAGTCACAATCAAAGTAGGCTATAAAAGATTCTACATCGAGGCTTTTCGGCACGAATCGAAAGCTGGATTAAGTTTGCTAAAGAACTTTTTGATCTCGCGCCGGCGACGAGATCGAAAAGTTTGACTTCGAAAGGCGCCAAATCAAACGGCGCCTAAGTAGATTCAAACAAGTTTGCAACTTACGGGCCTGCGCGGGCGAAGCTTTCGCTCTGAAACTTAACTCACAAAACTATAACGAGCACATTGAATTTCGCTTGAGAAAACCACCAAGGACGGTGTTATGCATATCGATTCGGCGAACGAACGGACATCGAACCGGGGAACGGGTTAAAAATACCGACCGGGGCGCGGTACGGAGCGCCGTGTGCGAGCACACCGGTCTGACTACTCGGACACGGGCGGACGGGCCACATGCGTTTGTTTACTATCGGCTCGGATCTGGGCGGCACGGGACGGCGGTGGAGGGGGGATGGCGGGGGCGGGGGCGGTGGAGGGGGCACCGGTTGGAAACTTACGACGGATGCCCCAGTCCATGACGGCGGAGTTTGGCGCGGGCGGCGCGCCGCTCGGCGTCTGCCAGCCGACTGCCGCCCTCCGGTCGCTTCACTCCCGCGTGTGCCGCGCCTGGACTCCCTCCAACACCACTCGACGCCTGAGGGCCGCGGCACACCGGGCGGGGAGCGTCCCCACCGAAGACTTCGCGGCGAACATTTCAGAGCCAAGGGCCGTTCGCGTTCGCGTATTTGGATATTTAACGAACTTCCGCCTCGTGTGAATAGTGCGCATAGCTTTATTTGTTTTTGTGACAAATGCAGTCCACCCCAAAGACTCGGCGTCCAACTCATGTCAGTTATCACGCTGCCTAACTCTTTAACGCAGAAAATTTTGCCAAATACAAAAAGCATCCATCAAGCAAGCTTCTTTTCATTACAATTGTTTTGTAATGAAAAGGAGAAGCAAGATGCGTCTATGGCGCCGCAAAGATTTGAGCTTTTTCCAAGAACAAATACTTGTGTCAAAGAATACCCGTAGCTATTTAAAGTTTCTTGTGGTAGGGCCACGCAGCAGCTTTTACTATGCACTGTGGCAGGCACATCCGGGGAAGTACCACGGCCCCACAAAAGTCCGGCGTGAAGTGGAAGTATGAAACTTTCGTCTGATGAATGAGGTATTCGGGGTCCACTTTTCAATAGGTTATAAACGCATCAACCCCTCGGGTATTAGAGATCTCCATGGATGTCGGTAATCACTTAACATCAGGTGAACCGCGTGCTCCCTTGACAACTTATCACATTACAAAAAATGCAGCGAAAAATGGTGGAACCGCATCTTTTTCTCCCAAATCTCTACTGGACTGTCGACCGTCGAGTGGAGATTTGGGAGAAATGCGGCCATAACCAGCTTGGCTTATATGGTACTTGGCCACAGGTCGTCTTTACTAATGAAAACGTTATTGTCACGACTACTGTTACAGTATTTAGTACAAATTTCAACTTTCTAGGTCCACCGTTCCTGAGAAAATCGGTGGTGACACACGGACTGACGGACGGACAAGAGAGTGATCTTATAAGGGTTCCTTTATTTACGTTTTAAGGTACGGAACCCTAAAAATTATAAATATCGCTTCAAAACAAAACTAATCCGTATAATTTTATTTATTACGCATCGCCGTAGTGTTAGGGATAAGGAAACTAAAATTTTGAAATAGCGTAGTAGTTTAATACAAGTTGACCAAAAAACATAAACGAAACAGATGTAAAAAAAAAACTCTGGGTCTTATCACCACTTAAAGTAACAATTGTTCATAGTATAAGATAGACACATTTATGCTGTTAACAAGAACATGTAGGAGACGCAGTGACGATAATTCATCAAACATTGACCCATCCAAAAATTACCTAACGTGCCTATACAAGTTTTAACTTTAATACAGGAAAAATACCTAGATACTATAGATTTTTGGTATTTATACAATAATATATCTATAATAATTGGTTAAGTAATTGGTTATTGTGACCTTTTCAAAAAGTTTAAGACTCTTATAATCGTTTTAATTATTAAAAAAAAACAAGAATGTGATTATTAAATTGACGAAACACCAAAGGACTTCATTTCCATTCGAGATATGATCGTTTCGTTTGTTGTTTATGTTGTTTCATAACTTCGTCGTTTAAAATCGTATCTGTACTACTGAACAAAGACATATGAGTAAGAAAATTGCAAAACATAAAAATGTATATGTTTTAGATGTTATGCGATGAAAAACAAAAACAACCGAAAAGAAATCAACATAAATGAATTAAATTTTTTTTTTTAAATTATGCTATTTTTTTCTTTTCGCCGTGAACTGTAGACCTTCTTTCAAGACATTCTCATTTACGAAGAAAATAGTTTAGTAAACTTTACTCCAATGTATCTTATATTGGAATAAACTTATGGTCTCTTTCATTTTGTCGACATTATGTAAATCATATTCGAATAACCTATTTCAAAAAGGGAGTGGTTGTTTTCAATTATAAAAATGTACCATTCAACGAGTATAAGGCGTGCCCTAGTTTGTCTTTACATTATAATTGCTAATTGTGTAAATTAGAGGATACTTACAGTTATATAATTCCATTTCATTTTTCAATTATGGCTTTGAATTTCGGGCAATTTTTTATTTGATAAGTCCGCATGTTAAATCAATGTTTTTCATTAATTATTGATATTATTTTAAGCTACTTTGAATATTAGAAATTATATATTTTTTTTTGGAGGTAACCATTTATTGTCCCACATTATGACGAATCTGTTGAAGACTCATATGTTGAAATCCGTCCAAAAGTTTAGGCTTTACAACATAGGCTTAGGCTTAGGCCAACAAATTAGAAATACTTATGCTCGAAAAACAATACCCTCCTTCGACAGCCGGGTAATGGGCTCTCAATTAGCTGGTCATAGATGATACGCCCGTATACTTGATCGTATACGACTTTGAGTTCGAACGACGTCGCATAAAGATCCTTTTGTTCGTCGCCTACTAAATTATTCATCGAAATATATTGTTCTATTCGCAATCCATACGTGCAGATTATCATATAAATTAACCTTCGGCAGATGTGAAGCCGTTGTCAAATCAACAGCGTCCTGGCGAAGTCTATGCTCTCGAATGCGGGATAACTTTAATCCAAATTCATATTCATGTACCCTCCGCGAATGAAATATTAATGCAATCACACATTTAAATATTGTTTGTATAATAAAGAATTACGTAATCTGAGTTTTTTCTTAAATTCTGTATTCACGTTCGATAATGTTAACGTAACTATAAAAATATACAAGAGCCGAAATTCTTACTTAACGCGGACACTGAGCTATCACGGCTTTTAACATATTGGACCATAGGAATGTTATATTTTGATAACTAAATACCCCCATGCAATTTATACTATAGATGTGTTATAAATACGCGTACATGATTTTGTAAAATCTTCCGTTCGAAAATCTTCGTATTGCCAAACACAGCACATATTCACACGTTTCGTTCGAATGGTACAAAAGGATAGCGTAATTATCGGCAAGTGTTATGACTACACTTAATAAAAAACTCGAGATTTTTAAGTGTTGAGTCGACGTATCTTTCGCGTCCCCGTATTAAAATTATTTGCTTCCTCTTTCTTTCAAAGAAAGAGGCTTCACTCCGTGTGCTTTACAAACATATCTGTAGTATAATATATCATTGCCCCAATGAGTTATTTTACGTTCTACCCGCAAATGTATAACAAAAACATTGTATGAAAAATAAGTGTAAGCGTCTTTGTTTCGATCACGATTCATATAAAATGGTTGACGTCAATTTTCAGAATAAACCAAGATACGAGGCAACGTACACTAGAGACTTATTTACAATCCAGCGCACTTCGTCCACGACATGCAAGGGAGCGAGAAATTCTTATTTTCTTACATTTCATTCGCACAAAATGTGTTATCGAATACAAGATACGAGACACCCATTCAAGCGTATTTTTCCGTTTCTAAAATATTATATTTTTCGATGTAAAATTCTACATTTTCTTTTACGGACAAAGGCTACAAAAAATTTATATTTTGATGTATTTCTAAGAACATGTCAAGACTTGAGATTTTTTTCGATAAGAGACAATTAAGACATTATGTTACTACCTTTATTAATTGATTAAAAATTCAAGGACGCGTTAGAAGAGGCGAGAAAAGGCGAGCGTCAAGGGGCACGGCTTTGACTTCATTATATCCCGACGACCTTATTTGAAATTCATATTAATTTAAATATTACACTTAAATAAACTAAAGATAGCGTCACTCGACGGTTAGGAAAGACGTCGTGAGGAATCCTGCATGTCCGAGATAGGACAAAATAAGTTTTGAAAGCATATCAAGTTCATCAAAAATAAGCGAATGATGATTCCTCCCGGTCGATATCGGCCACGGCGACTGCATTTAACTCCGGTTTTGTCTTTGGTGTGCTCGCGTGTGGCTTATGTAGCCAATTTTTTGTTTAAAAATCCTCACACACTGCGGGCACGTTAGCACACCGTTTACGTAATTATAACTAATGGCCGCTGGTGGTCGAGCCTTTAGTTCGTCTCGCTTGGCGTCTAGCTCACAGAGCCGCCTGTCCTCAAAGTTTTGGACCCTCGTTTTAACAAGCTCCCTCCACTCAGTCCGTCTGGCTGCCTGCTGCTCCCATAGCAGCGGGTCGATGCTGCACCTCTTCATATGCCGCTTAAGCACATCTCTGTACCTGAGAAGCTGACCGCCATGCTTACGCTTGCCTTCCTCAAGTTCCGAGTAAAAGATGCGCTTAGCAACTCTTTGCTCCGCCATACGCGAAACGTGTCCGCCCCACCGAAGTTGACGTCGCATAAGGTAAGCCTCAATGCCACTTACATTGGCTCTTCGCAGCACTTCGGTGTTCCGTACACGATCAGGTTCATATTAAGAGAGAAAATCTCGATTGTTTCACCGAATGACTACTACACTGTGGGAAAAAAATCTACAGTTTTCTTCGCTTCATGTTCCAGAGTGGAGCGTAAAAGGAAGAATATTCAGCTCTAGGATTGGTCTCGCGTCACGTAAAATTAATGGAACCCTACAAATAAGCAGTATTTACCTAAAAACACTGAAACAGTAAGTAACGCTTTATTCTTAAATAGTTATTAAGAAACGACGAGTAACAAGACTTCAAATCATCTTCATCGTCTGAATTATCTTACGAATATAATTACGTATAATATAAAAAGTATATTTGGCATTCAATAGAAATGAAATGAAGCTTAAATGAAATAGAATATTTCGAACTAATGTACCCACCCGTGCTTGTCCCGGGTGCAATTTTTACAGTCAATACCTCAAGTAGTGCTATCTTTTAATTATAACATTTCCAACAAAGAAGGATAAAAATGTTAACTGAAAGTTAGGGTTGAATGAAAGACATTTGTTCTCATGGACTCTTTCTCTCTTCTATACATTATTTTGAGTATTGTCTTTAGACATTATTTGCAACTAAAACTATTACTAAGACCCAGTGCACGGTGCGGTATCTCAAGAAAATGTTAATTTAAATGGTGATAACATATAGCCGTAATTGCCACATGCACATTCGTAACATATAGCTGGAATAATCATCTATCTACAATGTATGTACTTACCAATAGCTAAAGTCTTTTTGAGGTAAGTGCTTTCTTTCTGAAGATTGCCCTTCACATGTACACAATTTATTAGTATATTATGTTAGTGCGGAAATACATACTTAACTTTGAAATATCATTCAAAGTAGAACGTAGGCCAGATCATGTATATACACACTTACCATAATTTAGTGAACATATAAAGTTAATGCTACAACAGAAAATGGAATTGCCACGGACTTAGCGTGATAGGTGACCGTGTAATGACACAAACAAGTCGTTAATCTTGCGTATATCTAATTAAAAGTCATAAACTTTACTGCCACTCAAACATAAAATCAAATCACACGTTTAAACTTAAGCAACAGAGTATACACCATATATACCAAGGCGGGGCAAAGCAGTCAACTTGATAGAGGATAATAGAACATTTTTTTTTTTGGAGCTTGATGAGCCACTGTTGGCCTTAGGGACCTTCACAAATCCGACGGGCTTGAGGTGGCCTGGCGCACGGGGCGCCTAGCCTGAACCTCAGCGTAGGAATAGAACATAGTCCACCAAAAGACTACCGTGAATCGTTTTTATAGTTGAAACAAATGCAACTTTCGATATGATTTTCTTTACCGTCGAACGCGTACTAATTCGGTAAATTAATATTGCAAACAGTAGCGGAATCATCATCAATAAGAGTTAAATTTTTGTATACGAAACATAGATTTCATTGTATATTATATTTAAGTTGTTAAATTTACGAAACTATGTTGCCCAATTTTGTTTTGAACCGCACGGCAGGTGCAAAGTTTAAATGGTGTCCCATCGCCAATATAATAACCCAGAGTTCAAAATTTGTGGGATCTATATTTAACTATTGCGAATATGGGTCTGCTTTATGCTAATAATTTTTATGAAACCTACTGCGACAAATATAAATCACGGGAGAGATTTTTTTTGATGTTTTTTTTTCCATTCTAATATTTGTGACTATGGAGATGTGGATTCACGAGTCCAGATTATTTTCATCAATAAATTATCATTTCATGAACGGTTCATTCGCGCAGCTGTTATACATGTTTTGTGAGCGACATGTGCTCAACAAACGAAGTTTCGAATATAAAAAGTGAAATATAATAATGTATTACTCTCTGTCTCGATACAAAACACAGATTTCTAGTAAATGTATACGAGATTCAAACGTGTCCTCGACCTAATATATTAATATAACCTCTGACTTCTATAACATCTTCTTTATTTTAAAATCATTGCACATACTGTAAGATAACAACACAAATGAACGGTACTTCATCATGAAAAGTTGCGGTACATATCAGTGTTATTATAAAAAACTCTTCATCAGAATTTACAAGATAAAGGTTAAACACAAAAATAATTCATTTAAATCTAACATATTGGCTTTATTAGCGACCTGTCCGGCTTCACAAAGGTGCAATGTTATACATATAAACCTTCCTCTTGAATCACTAGTAAAAAAAACCCGCATCAAGATCCGTTGCATAGTTTTAAAAATCTAAGCATACATAGGGACAGACAGACGGGGGGACGACTTTGTTTTATACATATGTAGTGATATTGGCATTCTTAATTTTTTTTAATGTAAACACGATTTTTAAACTTTTTGGTAGTTGTCGTTATTAGACGGGAATATAATCAATTATTTGCTATGACAAACTATTAACGGTGGTAGTGCACAGGAACATCGTCTTCGTTGTTGCGCGAATATAATCTATGACCGTTACTCGTTCAATGAGGTCGAAGTCTCATACATAAGCTAGTCTCACTGTTCCATCACAGAATTTAGTACACATTTCCGTCACCGTATCATATAGAGTAGAGCAAACAGTTTAACGCCCGGTTCCTATATTCAACGAACAGTTAGCTAAATAGTCATTATGAAGTCGTTACAACGAGTCGTTATGAAACTTACGAAGTTATGTAACTAACGGCCGTTGGTTGAATATAGGAACCGGGCATAAAAGAGAAACGGGAAACATTACTCACTGCGGTGCGGGTGCGTCATCACGATGGCGAGCGGGCATTCGTCGTCTTCGAGTATGTACTCGGAATTGTCCGCCGCATCGACCTGTCGATACGAACGGTCGCGTCATATAATATGTTCATGCATTTCGACCCTAACATGTTAGAAAGAGATGGCGAATGATCACCACGCAAAAGTTCTCACGCCTTTATACCATGACACTTTGGGCAGTGATAGAGAGGTAATGCTGCGCATATGATGACTCTGTGCTCAAATCCTTGTAATTGGCTTAGGCCGGGATCGATGGTTCGAGTCCTGTACGGGACAACCTTTGTAGCTTTTTGATTACTCCGTGGCGCAATTGCCAAGGTATTGGCTTCGGCGTGGGTTAGATTCCTACACGGGACAACAATTTGTGGCCCACAGAAAGTTGTTTCGCATCTGAGTGTTTGTCCGCGTAAAATTTATTTTTGTGAGAAGTCCTTACAACACAGGATAATGTTATCCTAAAGTAAGGGCAATCTTTAAAAAAAATAAGCTTGAGACAGTCCGGAGAACCACCGCGGCCTCGAAGGAGACCGGCGTGTAGTGAAAGTATTATACTTTCGCCTTTCGTCTGGTGAGTTAGTCGAAGCTCACTTTTACAATGGTCGGCAACGCATTTGCAATTCATCTGGTATTTACTTCAGGTAGGAACTGCCTGTTTGCTTGCGAACTTGCACGCAAAAAACGAGGGGATAATAGATGTGGGCGCAAAGAGGCATGGGGGCATAGATGCTTTGGGGGTCCTGGAAGACCTAAACGTAGGGGGGGCTTAGAGATGTCGAAGCGTTGAGGTATGAGTGCGCATTTGGGTGGGAAGGCACGTGGGCGTAGAGGAGCTTAGAGATGTCGCAGCGTAGAGGTATGAGTGCGTATTTGGGTGGGGAGGCACGTGGGCGTAGAGGAGCTTAGAGATGTCGCAGCGTAGAGGTATGAGTGCGTATTTGGGTGGGGAGGCACGGGGGCGTAGAGGAGCTTAGAGATGTCGGAGCGTAGAGGTATGAGAGAGTTTTTAGGTGGGGAGGCACTAGGATGTAGCCCTCTACAACTCTACACTCTGACATCTCTAAGCCAGTTAGAGATGTCGGAACGTAGAGGTATGAGTGCGTTTTTGGGTGGGAAGGCACGTGGGCGTAGAAGAGCTTAGAGATGTAGCAGCGTAGAGGTATGAGTGCGTATTTGGGTGGGGAGGCACGGGGGCGTAGAGGAGCTTAGAGATGTCGGAGCGTAGAGGTATGAGAGTTTTTAGGTGGGGAGGCACTAGGATGTAGCCCTCTACAACTCTACACTCTGACATCTCTAAGCCAGTTAGAGATGTCGGAGCGTAGAGGTATGAGTGCGTTTTTGGGTGGGAAGGCACGTGGGCGTAGAAGAGCTTAGAGATGTAGCAGCGTAGAGGTATGAGTGCGTATTTGGGTGGGGAGGCACGGGGGCGTAGAGGAGCTTAGAGATGTCGGAGCGTAGAGGTATGAGAGTTTTTAGGTGGGGAGGCACTAGGATGTAGCCCTCTACAACTCTACACTCTGACATCTCTAAGCCAGTTAGGGATGTCGGAGCGTAGAAGTATGAGTGCGTTTTTGGGTGGAGCGGCAAGGGGGCGTAGAGGCCTTGGGGCCAAGGGGCATCACCTGAACGATGCAGTAGTGGTGCGGCTCGTGGCGCGCCAGGCCGTACTTGTCCAGCATCTCGCGCACCACCGCGGCCGCCGTGTCGCCCACCGACAGCAGCAGTGTCTTGTACGGCACGTCCGGGCACAGGGAGGACCCGTAGATCTTCAGGGTGCCGCCTGGCCGCAATCAGATGTTAGAACGCGAACGATTTCGCACTATATATACATGATTGTCGCTCTCTTTCTTTGATACTTTCCAATCCACATACGTACCACATCGTCCCGCTGTCTGTCTGTACCTACGTATGCTTAGATCTTTAAAACTACGTTTTAGATGCTTTTTTACTAGATAGTGATTCAAGAGGAAAGTTTATATGTATAATTAAATGCACCCGTGCGAAACCGGGCGGGTTTATATGTATTATACAGTTCATCCGTGCGAAGCCAGGTGGGTCGCTAGTTAATTATAATTTACATATTAAAGTTCACACAGCCTGTATATTTTTGCCTTTTTTAGATGACTCCGTGGCGCAGTTGTCAAGATATTGCCTTCGACGGCTTCGATTTCGACATGGGACAAGAACACAGATATTTGTTTCGGATCTGGGTGTGTCCACGTGAAATTTATGTTTGTAAAATACTCTTAAACACAGGATATTGTTATCCTAAGAGCAATGTTTTTAAAAAAAAAAGCAAAGACAAAAAAAGAAGAAAAAAAGGCAAAGACCTCCTCTTGTACAGAGGGCATAAGGACATAGTCCAAACGCCGCTTCACTACGGTTTAATTATTAATACATATCTTCGAATAATTTTTCTTTATTTTTTTTTATTATTATTTCGATAATATGCGTACATGGTATCCTCACAATGTTTTCGTTCACCGCTGAGCATGTGATAAGGCAAGCACTTAAAATTAACAGGTTAGTACAGTGTTAAAGCGCTAGGACACGGCTATCACGGCTCTGATATACATAATTTACCCATACGTAAATTATAATAGGTAAACAATACTGAAATTTCTGGAGCGCATATAAATGCTTTTACCAACTATCCGTAATGACTTCTTAAGATGGCACCACGTATGTTTACCATACAAGTGTCGCTTACGTCCATGAGCGGCGTCTATCACTTAACACCTGAACGGCCCGCAATATATATTGCCTGCCCTATAAAAATTAATTAACACTTTTGTAAACTTGGGTCTTTCATTTATTTTACTTCTTTCCATTACCGCCTCACTTGAGAAGGTGAGACTTGAGTGAATCCGTCACTGGTGAAATATTAGAAATCACGGGATGAGCACATACCAGTGTCGGGTCCGCCGTCCTTGGAGCGGAACTGCTGCAGCTTCCTCTCGAGCTTCTGCTGGCGGCGGCGCCTCATCACCGCCTCGGGATTGCTGATGCTGCGAGTGAACGACGTCTCCGGCAACTCTGGGCATGGCGAAGAAAACAAACACTTAGGTCTTTATTCACTTACGAACTGACCAGTGCGAAACTATTATCCATACAAATTGGAAAGAGACAGAACGACCTTACGAAACGTACGTACACGTATTAGTATGCGAATTTCTGACAGAGAAGAATAAAGTTACTATAGAATAAAATGAATACAATAAAATAATTACAAAAAAACAATAATCATTAGTTTAAACTATAATACTATCTCATGCCTGTGACTTAGTTCCGTGGATTTAGATAACGGAACTAAAATGGGAACTAGAATGCAGTAGGGCCACGCAACAGCTTTGCAGGGTGTTGCAAATGTCCATGGGCGGCGGTTATTACTTAACATGAGATGAACCGCCAACTCGTTTACCACGTGGTTGCGAACCAACGATAGGTAGATGAACTATGTATAACAAAATGCCAAAATTATAAATTCCCATTGCCACGTATGAAATTATAGAGCACTAGCTGCTGCCCGCGACTACGTCTGCGTAGAATAGGCTGAAGGTTTAACATTCAGACAGAAAGACATATATAAATAAAAATATGTATATCAATGTTATGCCTATGTCTTATTCTGATGTATAAACTATATCATTGTAATTTTCATTAAAATCCATTCAGTAGTATTTGCGTGAAAGAGTAACAAACATCCATCCATACATACAAGCTTTCGCCTTAATAATATTAGTAAGGAGTAGAGCATTAATAAAGCCTTTCAATTCGTAACGTATGCTAACAATGATGTTTCCAGAAGAAAGTGTTGATGCTAAGTGTTCGTGTTAAATGAGCTAATTATTCTTGCAATGTTACAGAGCCGTGTACAGATTCACAATAGTTATAAATCAAAACGGCATTTAAGTGTTTCTGCGTTGGGTTATTTCAAAAAGATGTTCACACAAACACAAGTAAAAGTAACATTGCAATATAAATAACTAACGAAATTATTATAAAATCTTAATTCTAAAAATTGTCATGATCCCTACTACATAGATAGCGTATTTTACAGGCCGACGATAATCTTTCTTATCCTTTAAACGAGCAATGCTTGTATATATATATATATATATATATATATATATATATATATATATATATATATATATATACATACAATCGGAATCTCGGAAACGGCTCCAGCGATTTTCATGTAATTTAGTATGTGCGTAGATTCGGGGGCGAAAAATCGATCTAGCTAGGTTTCATTTTTAGAAAATGTCATTTTATCCCTGTTTTCAGGGAATGAAAAATACAATTCGAATATGCCGGTAAATTTGGCCCCAAAACAGACGGCCGTGGTTCGCGTCACGATCATTTACACATTTATTTTTTTACTTTTTTTTTCGATTCCAGATCATTGCTTTCTTTATTTTTAATTTTTTGTCGATTTGTTATTTTGTTTTTTTTTTCCTTTTTTTTTAAAGTTCTTTCTTTTGTGAAAAACATCAGTTCATATTTTCTTATTATTACGTCGGTAAGATCGAAAAATATTATGCATATTTCATTACTCAGTAATTTGTATCTAAATGTAATTTCCAAAATACACGATTTACGAGAAAAAAAACAAACCGAGCAAAGCTCGGTCCTCCGGGTACTGTTATCTTATTATAGGATCACTACAAATGCATGTTTCGTACAAATATGACTACTAAGACAAGTTTCGATTTCATGTTAAGAATACACACAGCGATAATCGAACACAATAGCAACAATATTATAACTATGTGTCTAAACATTAGTTAACGAATAATATCTTAACGAGGCCAAATTACGAGATACACACAGAAAACTGCGCCGATTGTTAAGTTTTTGTCAAGAGACTATCTTTACCTGTATAAAGTTTTTCAGCGATCGGTCTGTTTTCGTCGTTGGTGTCAGATTTCAACCTTGAAAGCTTCTCCTTCTTTTTCAGTTCCTTCTTCTCCCGTTTCGAGAGTTTCCTTTTAAAGTTCTGATCTGATTTCTCTATCACGGACGACAGAGGAACCTGCCAGGTACAAAAAGAACGTAAAAATTACTCAATTTTTTATTTCGCGATAATAATCTGGACGAAGGGCTCTATAAAGGGAAATTTCAACTACAAAAAAGTGGTCAAACAAAAGATTTTAGTTTTCCGTATAATAAAAAACGATTTTAACTGCTATTGAGCAATTTTACATTTGCTGGTTCATTGTTAATTCAGATAACTTAGCGATATAATAGCGATAAATTAGGGAGTCTATAATGTTTCCGCTAATTCGTGGACATATTTTATGGTTTATCTTAAAATCATTAAAATCTTCGTTAAATTTCTAGAAAGATAAATAGGAACAACAGATTTTTTTAAGAATACACAAAAATACAGAATTTTAATAAGAAAGGTGTGATCCTTTTTATGAATCGAAATGAAATCGCAATTGCCTTATTTTATGTCAAAACGAATCATATTGAATAATAAAGGCCAAGAAATATTTCTTATTCTAGCGAACAAAATTTCAAGTAATAGTGAAAACAATTTATCACTTATCGTTGTCCTAGCGATAATGACAACGGTCATCTGAAAGGTTGACGGCAAAAGGGCGTTGCATTTTCTAGAGTATTAACATTATGTTTTTCTACAACATGATTTATTATATACATGAAATTTATCGCATTTAAAGTTGTAGGGAGTGTGGCCCTACCAATGCGATAAATTTCTAAGTCAATACTAATTTCTTGTATAGGCGAATGTTATACATGGTTAAATTAAACTAATTTAGAAGAAGAAGAAGAAGAAGAAACATTTATTCACGGTCTAAAAACAAATGAATACATACAAAACTTAAAAACAATAATGTAACTAACTTAAAATAAATGTAAACACAAAGAAAAACAAAATAACAACAGTAAGTGACGGTCTGTGTATCAGCATAAGACCGTGAAACGGACGGGACTCGGTAAAAGTCGAGATACAGTAACTAGTTCTGATCCCGACACCGGGTTTCAGTCCAGCCCGCACTTCGAGGTAACTCAGACGGCTGCGACAGTGAACTTGCAAAAAAAACGTACAGCGCAGTATAGCGAAATTTTTTTTTTGTTTGAACCTTTCATTCAATTACGGATTTCATCACCACGTTTTCATCGCACCCTTCCCAGTGTTCGGGACGGACTCGGTTTTTTACAATTGGAATTTCGTTAATATCGTAAAAATCGATAAAATAGTTTCCTCCCATCTCAATTTACCTCGTTATTGGTGAGGCACTTGAGGAGGAATCGACCCTCGCGGTCGTCCGTGTGCCAATTGAGCTGGACGAGGAGTGGCTTCTCGTGGGGCTCCAGGCGACGCTCGTAGTCCGGCCCGTGGGTCTCCCACAGCGAGTACGAGCCCAGCGACAGCATCCTCATGTCCGGACGGAACTTCTCGATCAGCGTCTCTGCGGGAAGGTGGGAATCTTGGGATTATACCACGAGATTTATTTTGTGTGAGAAGCTTGGTGAGTTCACCTGATGTTAGGTGATAACCGCTGTCCATTAAGATTTGCAATGATATTAATAATAATAAATATTTCTAGCCCCAAACTAAGCAAAGCTGATACTATGGGTACTAGAAATCTGATAAACATACTTAAACATACTTTTCTTTTGTAAATAAATACATATTATACATACATAAACACCCAGACACTAGAAAAACACTATGTTCACTACACAATATTTTTCCAGTAGTGGGGATCGAACATATCCGAAGGGTTGTTGTTGTTGTTGTTGACTCTAAAATCTTAGTATTTTCTGTTCCATAATATGGTATGTGGCCATTCAAAGTCAAAGAACTTTTATTTACATCGCCAGAGAAGAAATAGACGCCTCGGTATCTTACGCGTACGTATAACTGTTAGACCACATTATTCATTTGGCTAAATTCGGATGGTCGAAACAATTATGCCCTAATTCCAAGGTTTCGATATCAGAATTACGACGTTAGAAGTGACTCTAAGGCACTATTAAATACCACTAGCCTAAAGTAGTAACAAAAAATATATAAAATCAACATCATCATCATCATCACTTCAGCATGTCAGTTTGAATCCACTGCTGAACATATGCCTCCCCCATAGAAGTACGATCCTGAACCACATGCATCCATTCCAACGACTTCCCGCAAAAAAAAATAAGAAATAAAAAAATGTTGATACATTCCAAAAAAAATCCGTAACGTACGGCTAAATGTGTGTAAGGTATCTGCAAATTAAGCATTCAGCTCGAAACCATAGTTCGGTGTGTTTATCGATGACCCATATTGAAAAATCAATCCGAAAGTGCGATAAATGTCGCGATACGCCGAGTAATTGATTCAATTTCAACGGCGCGACGGTGATAACGCAACATTAGATTGAACCGAGCACCATTAACCACTTCATTTAACGGCCGACTTGGCGAACAGATTAGCGGCAAGTGTTCCGATGACAAATGTACGCCATGTCGAATTCTAATACTGCATTTCTCTTTCGTTTTGTCATTAATAAAAAGAAGACACAGGTTACAAATAATGTGGATAAAGATCGCCCAATATTTCTCCCATGTATGATTACGATTATAACCTTTGTGGTAAGGTGTCTAGTCAGTTCGAACGACCACTGCTACCTTGTAGATCTATTGTAGTCATCCCTTCCAGTAGGATACCCTCCTCAAAAGCAACAAGTCCCGTCTAATTTAAACAAAACGCGACGCGCGTGGCGAAATAAAAACCAAAAACCTCTCGCTGACCGTGAAGCATTATAAGTTGACATAAGTCGAATACGTCGCATTTACAACAGCTTCTGTCGGATTCGCGCACGAGGCTTAGTGATACATACAAGCGTTGTGTAAATTTTTTTTGCTTTTTCCGTACTTTTAAGTACTGTTGATTTATTTTAATCTAACATTCGTGTTATTTTGTCTTGTTTTTAGGTAGTTTGTGGTAAATTGTGCCGTTTTTTTGTATGTAAGTAGCTATTAACACTATGGAGGAGGATCCTCCTGATCCCGATCCACCTAATATTGGACCAAATTCCTTTTCCTCTTCTAATCATGTATCCTTAGATAGCACTGATACTTTTAATCGTAAACGTTCGTATACTCACAATGTGTCCATTCATCCTCAGAAGAGGCTTATTACTGATCCATCCCAGTCTCTCCCATCCATGCAATCTACATATGTTCATCCCAATTATGTTGACAAAAAAACATCCTATTCTACTGATGATGAAGCTCCATTCTTAGTACATGTTAGCAAAATTTTAACAGAGGTTACCTCTGGAGCAGTTTTAAAACCCATTCAGTTTGGGCATTTCTTATACCATAATAATATTAAGAATGTGGTTTGTGATGGAGTTAAAAAGGTTGGTAGGAACAGAATTTCAGTGGAATTTAAAACAGTAGCTGATGCCAACAATTTTATATCTCACCCTGCTCTTTCTGCTGCTAAGTATGAAGCTGTCATCCCATCATATAATGTAACTCGCATGGGAATAGTAAGACAAGTCCCTGTTGAATGGGCTTTAGAAGATTTTGTTTCCTCAATAACAGTACCAAATGGCCATGGAACAATAATTAAAGCCCGTAGAATGAATAGACGCTCAACAAATGAAAATAACATTCCCAACTGGATCCCCACCCAAACTGTTGTGCTGACCTTCTTAGGACAGAAGCTCCCACTCCATATTTATTCCTATTATACCTCAATGCCTATTGAACCTTATGTTTTACCAACCATACAATGTTTCAAATGTTGCCGTTTTGGACATGTAACATCTCAATGTAGATCTGCTCCCCGGTGTTTTGTTTGCTCATCAAATCATGAGGGAATTTCATGCTCCAAGTCACCACTTTGCCTGTTCTGCTCAGGCCCTCATACTGCAAAAGATCCATCTTGCCCTGAACAGTCCAGACAAAAATCTATAAAACTAGTAATGTCTCAGGAGAATATCTCCTATCTTGAGGCTTCTGTTAGATTCTCCCAGGTCCGGAAAACTTTTGCTGATACTGCTAAGAGTCTACCAGTCAATTCTCATATTGGAACTTCAAGTCCTACACCTATAAGAAATCACACTACAATTCCAATACAGCACAACTCATACAGAGAAACTGTCCTTATTCCTAGGTCTCCCTATAAGCCTGCCTCTAGTCCTGGGTATGATAGGGCAGCTCATCAAGAAATTATTGCAACCCCTCCTTCCTCCCTTCCTAATGGCAGTGCCTTAGTTGGAAAGGATACCTTAACCCCAAATGATAATCTGTTTGAACTGTTAATTTCCATGTTGATTAGTATGCTGTCTCGTTTCAGTGACGTTGATCTTCCACTTAATTTAAAACAAAAACTTACTCAGCTGATTTCATTCACCAATAACCTTCCCTCCGATACTACAATGGAACTGTCGGAGCATTAGAAATAAAAAAACATGAAGTTCTTCATCTCATTAATAAATTTAATCCCTCTATTCTAGCTATCCAAGAAACTTGGCTCAAGCCAGGATCCCATTTCCGAGTCTGTGGGTATTCATGCCTAAGAGATGACAGAAATGATGGTCATGCAGGCAGTGCTATTTTTATTTCAAGGAAAGTACCCTTCTCTTCTATTTCCTTCCCCTCCCACTCCTCTTCTATAAATATAGTAGGAGTAAAAGCTTTTAATACTTCAATTTTATCTATTTATATCCCTTCACCTAATGCTTCAGTTATTTCAGAGCTATTCTCTATTCTGTCGTCTCTCACACCACCTATTGTTATATTGGGGGACTTCAATATCCACCATACTATGTGGGGTTCTCAGTATTCTGATGCACTTTCCCTCATATTCTTAGAACTACTTGATAATTTAAATCTTTGTTTTCTAAATGATGGCTCTCCAACCCGTCGAACATCCCCAATTCAAAATACAAAAAGTGCTGTGGATTTGTCACTTTGCTCACCACGACCTCGTCAAAAATATAACTTATCCAAAGCTAACTGGTCACTATACTCATCAATTTTAGATAGTCAAATTTTAGATTTACCCCCAATTAATAAAGATAATGTCCTTTCAGTTTATAAAGAGTTTCGAAATCTACTTTTATCTGTAGCTGACAGAGTCTTTCCACTCAAAAACTCCTTTTAAAAATAACATTCCATCTCCCCCTTGGTGGGATCATGACTGCACACAAGCATGCAAAAAGAGAAAAGAGGCTGAACGTAGATACTCACAGTCAATGACCACAGAGAATTACATTTTTTATAAAAAAACTGCAGCAGAGACTATGAAATTGTTATCCCAAAAGAAGCAAGCTGGCTGGCTCAGGTTTTGTACATCCATGTCTCCCAATACTCCTCCATCACTTGTATGGAAAAATATTAAAACGTTTCGTTGTGCAATGGTTAGTGTAGACCCTGCTTCTAATGATCATTCTGTTTGGATTGGAGACTTTTTGAATAAACTTGCTCCACCATCAGCCCCAAACTATGATGAATGTCTATTTTTTGATTCTCCCTCACAGCAAACCGGCTGATAAATTTAATTCCCCATTTTCTCCACAAGAACTTTTCTGTGTTCTTAGTGGTCTTAAAGATTCTTCACCAGGAATTGACGGAATCCCCTATTCCTTTATAATTAATAGTAGTGAAAGAACAAAACTGATTTTACTTAAATTTTTGAATAATATATTCATTACTGGCATCCCACCCGATGAATGGAAGTCGCAAATCATTATTCCTGTCCCTAAGCCTGGTAAGGCTGGTAATGATGCATCTGGATTTCGACCCATAGCTCTCTCGTGTACAATTGCCAAAGTTCTTGAGCATTTAATAAAAAATCGCCTAGAGTGGTTTTTGGAAAGCCAAAATTATCTACCAAAGAGCCAATTTGGATTCCGAAAAGGTTTGAGCACAATGGATAGCCTAAGCACGCTTGTCACAGATATCCGAATTGCCTATTCAAAGCAACAATACCTTGTAGGGGTATTTCTAGATGTTTCTTCAGCGTATGATAATGTTCTTCTTCCTGTGCTCAGACAGAAAATGTTACAGCTGAGCATACCAGTGAAGATTGTTAACTTTATTTTTAACTACCTTTCCTCCAGATCAATTTTAGTAAATGTTCAAAACTCACTCCTTCCATCAAGAACTGTCTGGAAAGGCCTACCTCAGGGCTCTGTCCTTAGTCCTCTCCTCTATAATATATATACTTTTGATCTAGAGCTTTCTGTCAATTCATTTTGTAATGTTCTTCAGTATGCAGATGACCTAGCCTTGTACATTTCCCTAGATAACATCTCTACAGCTTGCTCACGTCTAAATTCCGCTTTGTTCTATTTGCAAGATTGGTTAACTGAACATGGCTTATCCCTCTCCCCCTCCAAAAGTAATGTCGTAGTTTTCTCTCGGCGTAAAAATGTGCCAAATATTATAATAACTTATGATAACCAGCATATTCCCATAAGTGATTCAGTTAAATTTTTAGGTGTTTTTCTTGACACCAAATTATCATTTGTTACTCACATTGATTATATCTCCCAAATATGTGAGAAAAATTTGAACATTATTCGGTCCCTTTCTGGCGTATGGTGGGGCGCTCATCCATTCTCTCAAAAAAATTAGTTTACAACTCACTAATTCGTAGCCACATCGATTATGGATGCTTTCTTTTCGAGCCATGTAGTAAAGCATCACTTAACGTGTTAGACAAAATTCAATATAAAAGCCTGCGTATCATTATGGGTGCAATGAAGTCCTCACCTAATAATGCCCTTCAGGTGGAGTGTGTTGATCCTCCTTTTCACTTAAGAAGGCAGTATCTTTCGGATAGATTCTTTTTCAAGACCTGTCAACTCTCAGTTCACCCCTTAATTCCTAGGCTTCACCAACTATCTGAATATGTCTCTTCAAGCAACTATTGGGTCCACAAGAATCCTCCATGTCTGTTTAAGAGTTTGGTCACTTTTCTCCGTTTCCCCTCTCCTATTTTTCAATGTAAGACTAACCCATTATTTGATATTCCTTATGATGCATTAATTTTTAAACCTGACATCCATCTTGACCTGGGCATTCAGAAAGATTGTCCGATGGCAGATTTTAACTTGAGTTTGGCCATTAAAAGATACTGGAAGGATTGGCTAATAATGTATACAGATGCTTCCAAATTCAGTGAATTGGGTTACTCTGGAGCAGCAGTTTGGATCCCAAAGTATAAAATAGCCCTTAATTTTAAATGTCCTTCCCCTACATCTATATTTACTGCAGAGGCTACTGCTATATATGAAGCACTATTGTATATTGAGTCACACAACCTAGACAGATCAATAATATTTACAGACTCTAAAAGTTGCCTACTAGCTATTTTGTATAATCAATTTCGTGTTAAGTGTAAAATCCCTCTAGTTCTTAATATTAAAAAGATTCTATTTCAATGCCACCAAAAAGAATTACATGTATCCTTGGCTTGGATTCCTAGCCATAGTGGAATCTGTGGAAATGAAACAGCTGATAGCCTAGCTAAAGATGCTATACATAATGGCATAATCAAAAATATTACATTTTCCCATGATGTTATTCCACTAGCTAAATTGAGACTAACCAACAAATGGAATCATCAAAAAATTTTAACTCCAGAAAAGGGTAAATTTTACTTTTCTATACAACCAAAAGTTCCTGTAAAGCCCTGGTTCTTCAAGTATAATAAGGCCAACAAACATGCCACATCCACCATCTGCAGACTAAGAATTGGTCATGCATGCACCCATGTTCACCTTGCAAAGATTAGGATTAGGGATAGTTCTCTGTGTGAGTGTGGTTTGGATGAAGGAACCACCAACCATATATTTTTTGAATGTCCTAAACTATCAACATCATTGTATGATTCCCTTCCCCCCTACATCCCTCGTCCTATTAATTTTTCCTCCCTTTTAACTTACACTAATTCACCATTTGTATATATTCTATGCGACTTTATTATATCTAATAAAATTAAACTTTGACGGATTCAAGGTTCATGTCTAATATAACTGTTTGTCATTGTTCTAGGTAATTCAACAGGAAATTACTTTTTCTTTCTTGCTCTCAACATATTATTTTTTTCTTATTTTAATTCCCTTATATGATCTCTTATGCCTCTGCTATGCCGAATCTGTTCGATAACCAATCCACTTAATAACTTTCCTATATTAACGTGGACATTGGCGAATACCTAAAGACCGCCATAAAGGAAAAAAAAAAAAAAAAAAAAAAAAAAAAAACAGCTTCTGTCTCGATACTTCATGAAAATCATAATCATTTCAGACCGTTTTAGTCTACCGTTTAGACTGCTGTACATAAGCCTCCCCACAAACTGCCACTCGATACTAAGCACCAGGAAATATACAACGAAAATGTCAACTTCGATAGCAATATTGGCTAATCAAATTTGGCTACGCTCAAGTGAACTGAAAGCGCCACTCATTTATAAAATGTATGTCGGACGAATTCCTTTCAATAGACAGGCGGTTATGAACTAGTTGTTCAAAATTTCAGTGGCAAATAAAAAGTCATGGGTTTAATTTCACAAATGGTCTAAACACAAATCGGCGTTGAATTGAACTTTAGGGCTTCTTGTATGGAATATACAGCGTGTCGTTACCATCGCGACAATAAATGAACACACGTCTAACGCTACGTGCCAATAATCATAAAAAAATATTAACCTTAAACAAAATCCATAATTAAAAAAAATAATTTTTCAAACAAACTAATCAAGTAAAAAAGGAACAAAATTTGTAACATCCTATACAACTCTCGCCACAGCGTCGTATTAGAAGCCTCTCCTTCTAACAGTATGTTTTGTCTCTCTTAAATTCATTCAACCCATTCATATGCTTTGTGACCTTTACAAATGAACTTTACGTTACGCTTTTATAGGTATGGATGTTCTAAAATTCTTTGTTTTGGAAAATTTAATAACTCTGTAAATATTGATGTTTAAAGAATTTAAATGTTTAATACAACTTTAAAAAGTTATCCCCCATATGTGTGTTCATTTATTGTCGCGATGGTATGTATAACACTAGAATAGATGACTCTAGGTAATTCGCTATTTATATGTGCTCCACCTACACATAATTGTTCCGCATCTGAGTATTTGTCGCTATCGAATTTTTCTTTGCTCGACAATAAGTATTATGCTGCATGGAGGGTAATGTACTTTTGAAGTTATACTTATTTTGCTGCGTTTGTGAAAAGTGGTGAGAGTGATTTTTTACCATGCGCGACACCTTAAAGCGACACGAACTTTCTTCATTTTGTTCCATGGCAACATAACAACTTTCTGACATTTGTCTATAATTCCAAGTTATTTATTTCGACATTTATCATTTGCATCAATTGTTTGTAATTCAATCAAATGTTTGCGCACGGCATAAAATTTTTAATTATTTGTCTAAAGTGTAATTCCACAAATGCGTACATAAGTAACACACGTTTTATCTTGTTAGCATATAGTGTTCCTCCTTACCTATCACATCGCTGACTGTCGCATCAGAGGCGACTCGAATGCATTTTGTAGCGATCTTCTGACCCGAGTCTTGAAAGTAGAATCTCATCACTCCGTGAAACTCCAAGTTCTGAAACCGAAAATAAATGTTATTCATGTGAATTACTGATAAAATTAAATGTCCGGTAAAAAAATATTATTTCGAGAAGGTACCAATAGGATCGCAATCATTGAATAATTTTGTCATCATTATCATCGTCTAACTGCTGGCAGTTAGCTTGGCAGTCTTGAAGATTGAAGAAAGTGTAACCGTGTTTGGATTAACTGTCCCGAATGATGGGAGCTTCATTATTATTGAATGGAAACGAGCGAGACGGCAGAGGCCAAAATCTCACCCACAGTTTACACGGTATTAAGACAAAGAGAAATATTTTAACTATGCAGTAATATACAAATATTTATATATGTATTGTATTAACCTAATGCATTACATAAACGTTAAACGCAAAACGTTCATGATTGGTCGTGTAACGTTAATTAAGCGTGTTGCGGTCACATAGAAAAGCGACGACCAATTAAAACAATAGTAACCTAGGTCACTCGACCGACAGAAGTTATGTTTACATAGAATAATTAAATTGAACAATTAATCTTGATCTTATTATACCAGCTATTCTTTATCGTTATTAAAAAATGACATATTTCTGAATTAAAATTTATAGAAAAAATCGTTTTTCTAGCAATGCTTGGCGCATCTATTGATTTATTTAATAAAAGATCACATTAAATTTTTAGCAAAGATTTAAACTTAAATTTATTCAAATATAAACATAACATTTAACAAATCATGAGCAGTGGGTCAAAATGACGAATATTTTCATAAATTATTATAGATGATATTAAAGAATCTTTATAAGATAGAAACTTGTATATTATATTATTATTCAACCAACTTCGCAAAGAGGACGTTCCAAAAACCTTAAACATAAAAGACAAACAGAAAATTAAGCTATTTTTACACATATCAAAAGCGATAAAATACGAAATGTATTTCCATTTAAAACCTTATATTGCTCGTGATCCTGATGTACCAGAAATCATTATTGAAGATATCAATGAGACAGAACCCCACCGAATTATAACGTTAAGAAACAGCAATTGCGCCATACACGGAAATACTTTATCTAAAGCGCATTCTTCGAAAGATAAGGATCGTTTCCAAGGCAAAACAAACAGTCGAGTATATTCTAAACTGTAACAAAACCTGAGTCGGAAATGACTGTTAGTGGGAAAATGGGACGAAATCATTATGAAAGCGTAAAAAAAAAATTTCGTCATTACAGTCCAAATACTTGAAACGAGAGTTTAATCGCGAACAAACAAAGAACGATCTTTGTTTACGTAATACCGAGCACCGAGACGAGTTATTGTAAAAATTACATCGCACAGTTACCACAAGCGGGTCCTTGATGAATCATATTGAGGTACCTGGTATTCGAACGTACTTACTACGCCCACCCGTGTTACTCCTCAAATCGATTCGAATTTGTTTTTGTTTTCGATTCGAACTCACTCTTGGTTCGAACTCGATTTGAAAATCTTACTCCCGAACCGAATCGAAACTAGAAACAAAACCATTCGAGTCAAATTCGATTGATTCAGAACTCGAACCTGTCGGGAGTAGACAGCCAGTTTCTGAAACACTGGTCATTCTGATCATTAAGAAGATCGCTCTGATCAATTCAGAGAGTTTGACAATCCTTTTGGCTATACTCAAATACAATTTGAAAAGCCATTTGCCAGCTGATTAGTTTACTTCTACGATGATCAGTGATTCAGAAACCGGGCGTTAGTGATGTATTATAATATGAATCGATGTTTGATATCGTTCATCGATCGTTAACTGAATATCAACTGAAGTGCTGTGATATTTCGCATCGTTGACGCGACTTTATTCAGACGTGGATTCTTTCCGAAAACCTCGTAACAATGGTATTGTTACGAAGAACAATTGGAAGGTCGCGAATGTCTGTGTATTAGCTGTTCAAACATCTTTAATCTATTCAGTGTACAGGAGCGAATTTTAAAATATTATTTGTTGTTGTGGTTTCTTGAAATAATAATAAAAAAATAGAAGATATTTTGAATCCACCAATCCGCGAGGTCGCGAGGTGCACTATGCCCTAATACCTTCTATTATATCTGGATACTTTTATTCCGCAATTAGAATTTTTATGTATTTTAAGTACTATACAGCGTGTCGTTACCATCGCGACAATAAATGAACACAGGTCTAACGCTACTTGCCAATAATCATAAAAAAATATTAACGTTAAAAAAACCATAATTAAAAAAATATATTTTTCAAACAAACTAAATTAAGTAAAAAAGAAACAAAATTTGTAACATCCTATACAACTCGCGCCACAGCGTCGCATTACAAGCCTCTCCTTCTAACAGTATGTTTTGTCTCTTTTAAATTCCTTCAACCCATTCATATGCTCTGTGACCTTTAGAAATGAACTTTACGTTATAGTTTTATACGTAAGGGTGTTCTAAAATTCTTTGTTTTGGAAAGTTTGATAACTCGGTAAATATTGATGTTTAAAGAATGTAAATCTTTAATACAATTTTAAAAAGTTATCCTCTATATGTGTGTTCATTTATTGTCGCCATTGTAAAGACACGCTGTATATTTCAAAAGGTCCAAAGAAAATTTTAAAGTGCTCCGAGCAATGGTATTTCTTAATAGAACGGCACGAACAAAACTATAAGAAGACTAGCTGTCCCGGCAAACGTTGTTCTACCATATAAATTATTTCTAGGGGATTTATAGGGTAAAAAAACTGTTAAGGGTGGACCAAGCTTAACATTTAGGGGGATGAAATATAGATGTTGTCCGATTCTTCACTCTGGCCCATTAGCATACAAAATTTCACGAAAATCCGAGGAGTTCAATTACAAACACCGTGACACGAGAATTTTATATATTAGATGTGGCACCACCACGCAACAGCTCACTCTCTTACACGAATGAGGCTCGTTCGGGGAGTACTAAGGCCTTACAGAACACCAACGTGACGTAGAAATATTATACTTTGGCGTTTCGTATGGTAAAAGAGGTAATCGGGCCCCACTATTCGTCATTTTAGCTGTCTATGAGCGGCGGCAGATGAACCGTCTGCTCGCTTGACAACTTTTCTCATAAAACAAAACGGATATAACATCGCAGTGTCTATCAGTTCTGGGCCTTAGCTCAAGTCAAGTAGCCTGGAGTCATCGAGAGAAACAACGGTGGCCTAACGAAATCTGTCAAAGTTGGCACTCGCCTCGTTGGGTTCGCTGAGCTCGAAGAGGTCTAGCCTGTTCGCGTTCCACTGCTGGATCATGTTGCGCAGCACCTCGCGCTCCAGCATGCGCTTGTCGCGGTCCGCCTCCATCCTGTCACCGCATCAAGTCCAAAGCCTGTAATACATACAAATCAACCTCAAACAACTCTCGAATACCTAAAGCTTGTACTTTTTACGGGATGGGGCTAGATAGAAAGCGGTACACCCGATAGTAAGTGATTACGGCGGTAACCCTTGAGCACCCGTAATAACGGTTAGCACGGTGCAGGTGCAGAGTAAAGTAAAGTAAGAGCCTATACATGTACCACTGTTAGGCAAACGCCTGCTGGGCTGCCCCTCTGCTGATTGGCGGACTTCACATATTTTTTTGTTATTATTTCAAAAATATGCAGGTTTCCTCACAGTGTTTCCTTTCACCGCTGAGCACGTGGTAAGTCAGCACATAAAGTTCACTGATGCCGACACAGCGGATCGAACTCTGGTCGCTCGCGTATATTGTATTAACGGCGAGCGACCGGAAACTGAGCTATCACGGCAATGCATTTGTTTTAGGTGCATTACAAACCTAAAAGAGGACGCCTTTCTTTAGCTCACCAAACGACAAGTCTAAATACTTCTTTTTTTATGTGACAAAGTGGCAACGCTGGTGTTAATTGACAAGTGCCGCCCGTGGATATTTGCACCACCTTAGGGTTACATTGCGATGTATGGGATACGTTGCCACCTTTTAATATAGTGGGCCCCGGTTACCTCAATCACCAGATGAAACGCAGAAGTGTTACACTTCCATTTCACGCCGGTCTTCTTTGAGATCGTGGTACTTCTTCGAACGGACCTGACCGTTCGTGCAACAGTGAAGACTGTTGCTTGGCCCTACCAAAGGTGAAACTTCAATGTTACACTTATCTCTTCTGTTATTTAAATGTTAGTTCAAACCAATAAATCCCTAGACTAATCTATTTATGACAGAAACGAACGCATTTTCGCCAATCCCATTATCAACAATTTGTCATTAACATTAAATGATAAAGTATCATCCAATGAAGATAAACATCAGTATCTTTACCACGACTTTTCTACTATCCAAAACAACGCAACAAAAAAAACGCATCAAGATCGTTTTTTTTTAGTAGATAGAGAGGAGAGGAGGTAGTAGATTCAAGAGGAACGTTTATATGTAGGTATAATACATTGTACCCGTGCGAAGCCGGGACGGGTCGCTACTTACTTAATAAATTTATTACATATAACTAACATTCCAAAAAGATAAAATTTGCTTATTTATTTATGTATAATCAATCACTAAAACTTTAATTTTATTTTTCTCGAAGGAAAAAGTATAATATTATTCCATAGCGGTGATTCCTTTCCACCAGGTGAGCCTCTTGCCCGTATTCCCCCTTTGTCCATAAAAAAATAGTTACATCAGTATATAAAACGTTTTATCGGTTACCATGCAACCATCGAACACCCGCTAGTAGGCATGTTGACTGTCATTTTGTGAATGATACGTTTATTTATGACAAAGGAAATTAAACGTGTTTAAAACTTTTCCACCTGCCTGTTTATCTACTCTTCTTTGTTTTTCTGTGTGTCACGTACCTATATATATAAACATTTTTCATATTTCTCTTCCACCAATGACGTCTTAAGTTGAAAATAGACCACAAATAAGTTGAAAACACTAAGAATATCTACACGACAATGCAATATACTTTGTTTCTTCAGTTATACGGGTAATTAATAGTCACAGTGTAGCGTATATACGCTAAATGTGTAAAAGGCTTTTCGATAAACCATTTGTAAAATACTATCGTACATGGAGATCTTTCAATAGGTCTGATAAAAAATAATCCTTTGACTGATAGCAGAGTATAGTTTGCTGAAATGAATGAAAAATAATGAAATAGAAACAAAAATTATTCGATACTAGGTAAAAAAAACAAAATAACTTTGGAGTTTGCATAAACTTATTAAATATGTTGTGTTGTACTGTGTGTTACTTAACAACGGGCCAGCTTATGTAGGTTCACTTACTATTTTGTTCGATGAAATCTTTCGATAAAAATTTTAAGTTAACTGAAATTTAAAAAATTCATGACACAATTATGATGATCAACACTTTCATAAAGTTCTTACATCACAAATAGGAATATATTAGGACTATTCTTTCATCTTAATTCTATTCAACTTTTCTATTTCCGTAGAATTTTTACGAAATATTTTAACTTTTACTTTCATACCGTCGTTACTATGGCAACGCTCAATACTCCAACGTCTATATAAAGCGCTGACGCCGCGTCGATTCACGTACTAATTAAGATTCTTATCCTTTAAAGGAGCAATTCTTGTATATATATATATATATATAATCGGAATCTCGGAAACGGCTCCAGCGACTTTCATGAAATTTAGTATGTGCGTAGATTCGGGGGCGAAAAATCGAACTGACTAGGTTTCATTTTTAAAAAATGTCATTTTTTCCCTGTTTTCAGGTAATGAAAAATATAATTCGAATATGACTATAAACTGTAAATTTCGCCGCAAGAGAAAATGTCATAACAGCTCGGTCGGTAATCGGGCGGCCCCAAAACAGACGGCCGTGGTTCACGTCACGATCATTTACACATTTATTGTTTTACTTTTTTTCGATTCCAGATCATTGCTTTCTTTATTTTTAATTTTTTGTCGATTTGTTACTTTGTTATTTTTTTTCCCTTTTTTTTAAAGTTCTTTCTTTTGTGTTACTTTTGTGAAAAACATCAGGTCATATTTTCTTATTATTACGTCGGTAAGATCGAAAAACATTATGCATATTTCATTACTCAGTAATTTGTATCTAAATGTAATTTCCAAAATACACCATTTACCAAAAAAAAACAACGGTTCTCCGGGTACTTTTCTTTAAGAAATCAAAAAATTACGATTAATTGCGGAATCCAGATACCTCTGATATTAAACCAAATAGCAACCAATTCATTTAAAATTTTTTGAAATTAGAAATGTCAATGAAACTTGTTAAATATCAGTGATAATTAAATAAAACAATACAGTTTTAAAGTATTGGCGTAATTTCAAAATACCAACACAATAACATTCGGGCGGCTGCCGCACAACAGTTCGCTGTTGCACGAATGTGCAGGTCCATCCGGGGAAGTACCACGACCTCACGAAGAAAAGCGTGAAAGTGGAAGTGTTATACTTTTGCGTTTCGTCTGGGTGAGTAAGATAGCCGGGCCTATTTTATTAAAAGGTGGCAATGCATCTGCAACCCTACGGGTGTTGCAAATGTCCGTAGGTGGCGGTTATCACTTACCATCAGGTCGCTTGCCATCTTCGTTTTAAAAAAAAAAAAAAAATACAAATTTTAAGGTTCATCGAGCGACCCTTTATGGTATCTACGAATCGGAATCCGGCGCTCACCCAAGCGCGACCTCATTCCGCGCAATCGAATTTAGCGAAGGAAGATTTTTCCGAAGTGGGCGGCTCCTGGCATATATCATGCGCGGTGGTTCTGCCTACACGCGTGTCTGTATTTATAACGCGAACATATGGCCCGTGCGGCGGCCGACCGAACGATCGCACCGAAATCTATAAACCCAATAACGTTCCAGATAAACGAGAAACGATATTATTTCATTGGACAGTTAGCAATAACCGATGATCAAAGTGGCAATAATCCAACGTTCAACAATCAACTGTTTTAATTGGTAGACGCCGAGAAATAGACGTTTCAAAATTATGTTTAGATTTCGTATTGTTATTAAAAATGAAAATTACGCGTCCTTTGAAAGAATAGCCCGATGTAAGCAAAAAGACATCTAAAGCGGTAGGGCCGCGCATCAGCTTGTGCTGTTGCACTACTGGGCAGCGTTAAATCCGTAAAAACAGTTTCGTTTGGTGAATTGCATGCGTAATTATTTGTCACAGGCGAGGCTGGGAACGGTCATTGCGCGCCGCGTCCGCAATTGGAAAGTCGCAGGCAACGTTAGACGCGACTGCGAACCGGCGGTTTAGCATTACCTCGCCGCACGTACGTACCTGCTCAGCGGCGCGGCTTTGTTTACCGGCCGTATAGCGTTACGCGGAATCGTGCCTCCGTTCGTACCGATCGAGTTTAGAGTTTAGAGTTTATTAATGCCCCGACGGGACTGCCGCTGTTACGGGCCGCACGCATCCGCCGGGCCGGCGTGGCCCGAGAGCGGGAAGGGGAACCTCGGACCGGCACGTGAAAATAAACACGCATCGCTCACCCAAGCCACTTGTACCGATACTGTGCGCGTGTTTTTTTTATTTTTAAATTCATGTACTTTGCCGCCGAAACCGGCCGCCGTCGGTTGTAACCACTTTCGTTATCGCGTGAACTCTTTACGCCTAGCACCTGCCGATTGAATGCGATTCGGTTTTGGGTAGACGAAACCAATTCATGACCGCGTTTTACTGGTGTTTTTTTTACATTCCCCCGTCGTTTTTTACACGATTAGAACCACGAACGATTTCTCGGAATTGTTATAAACATCGAAATAATTCCTATTTAAATGAAAGCATCTTGATGAAAGTGAAATAAAATAAAATTATATTATTTTATGAATTTATATTAAATTAGTTTATAGTGCTTATCTCTGCAAATTGGGTTGATATAGTTAAAATTTATAGAAAAACTTTTGTCCATTTTTTCTACAAATTCTACTACCTATATCATTTTGTAAAAAAAAAAGATTATTATTTCTTACAGTGACGAGCATAAAGGTTAATCTTTTCTAATCGCACAGGACGAACTATCTCATTTGTTATTTATGAAGTAAACGAGCCTTTTGGGCACGGTAAGAAATCTATATTAATAATTAGTAATATATGACGCAAAAACCTGAACGGCTATGCGGCCGTACCTAGAAGCTCACATTAGCGATTCACAAGAATTAGGCTCAAGAGGAGTATTTCTCAAACGAACCAATTTTATTTTAGGTTCCTTGCAGGTTGGAATCCGACATGGCCCGAAAGTTTTTGACCTTCTCCCTTTCCTCCACTTATCTACAATATATCACATTTTAAGTTTCACTTTGAGTGCAGAGACGCTATAAATAAAACTA